TAACAAGGACTACAACTCCATGAACCCCAACAGAAGAAATTCACAAGGCAAGGCAAACAATTTAAACAGGTGGTGGTGGGGGCAACAACAGGAAAATAACATGACAAAGATAAGTCAATACATAGCAGTTATAACCATCAATGTTAATGGTCTCAGTTCACCAATCAAAAGACACAGACTGGCAGAATAAATCAAGAAGCAAGATCTAATAGCATGCTGCATACAAGAAACACATTTAATTAAAAAAGAAATTTACAGACAAAGTCAAAGGATGAAAACACTTTACTCCAATACTCCATGGCACAGGAACCCAGAAAGAAAACACGGGTAGCTATTCTATTTGCAGAAGTAGCAAATTTCAAGCCAAGATTGATTAAGAGAGGCAAAGAAGGTCACTACATCCTTGTAAAGGAAACAATCCAAGAGGAAGCAATAACAATCATAAATATGTATCCACCAAATACCAGTGCACCCAATTATAATAAGAGGCATAAAAAAACCAAATAAGCACTAACACAACTGTAGTGGAGAATCTCAATACCCCACTGTTACAAATAGACAGATTAACAACACAGAAAAAAAAAATCAGCAATTATACAATAAAACCATCATTGAATTCTAATTACTTTGCTTAGTGACATTCTGTATCATTTCTAATACTTTTTACTATTTTCATTCTCTTTAAAAATTTTTTTAAATTTTTAAAGAGATAGCCAGATAGCTTGGTGGATTAAAGTGCCTGCTTAGGCAGATGCAGGGGCTGGGGGTTTGATCCCCAGTCTGCTGTGCCAGCCCTGTTCCTGGGGTGCACTGAGACAATGAATAAGTCTGGGCGTGGTGGCACATGCCTATAATCCCAGCGCTTGGAAGGCTGAAAACAGGAGAATCACTATGAGTTCAAGCTGTGTAGTGAGACCCTGTAGACCCTATACTAAACACATAAAAAAATTAATTAATAAAAAAAAATCAATGCAACATTAGAGCTGAACCAAGTTTTGAATAAAATGATTTAGTAGATATCTACACAGCACTCTACCCCACATCAGAATCCACATTCTTCTCAGTTACACATAGGACGTTCTCCAAAATAGACTGCATACTGGCACACAGAACATGCTTAAGTAAATACAAAGAAACTGAAATGGTTACATACATATTATCAGACAAATGGGCATGAAAGCAGATATCAATGGCAAAAGAAATCACAAAAACTTCATAAACACATAGAAATTAAGTAACACCCCCCTGAACAATCGGTCAGAGATGAAATTAAAGAATTAGACAGTTTTTACAGTTAAATGACAATGACAATACTACATACCAAAACTTATGGGACACAATGAAAGCAGTCCTAAGAGGGAAATTCATAGCAATAAATATCCATATCAGGAAAACAGCAAGCTCAAATAAACAACTTAATATTGAACCTCAAACTTTCAGAAAAAGAACAAGCCAAGAACAAAGCTCTTACAAGGGCGGATGTTACAATGATCAAAGCAGAAACTAATACAACGCAGACTAAAAATATAAAGAATGAATCAAAGAGTTAATTCTTTGAAAGATTAAATACAACTGATAAAGACTTAGCGACCCTTATTAAAATAGGAAAGACTCAAATCCACATAATTAGGAATGAAAAGGGTGAAATCACAACAAACCCTGAAGAAATCCAGAGGACCATCTTTACCTACTTTGAGAATTTGTATTCTAATAAGATGAAAAATGCAGATGAAATGGTCAGATTTCTAGATACATGTGAATTACCAAAGCTGAATCAAAATATAAAATGTCCTACATAAACCAATATCAATCTGTAACATAGATTAAAACCTTACCAACAAAGAAAAAAACCCAGGTGCTGATGGATTCACTGCTGAATGTTACAAGAAATTTGGAGAAGACCTAATACCACTATTTCTCAAATTCTTTAATGAAATTGAAAGGGAAACAATGCTCCCAAATTCATTCCTGGAAGCAAGCATAACAAAACCAGAGAAGGACCAAATTAAGAGAGAACCACAGGCCAATCTCCCTAATGAATATAGATGCAAATCTTCCATAAGATACTGACAAACAAAATGCAACAAATCATCAAAATTATTGCTCATGAGCAAGTTGGATTCATTCATTCCCAGGGATGCAGGGAGGGTTCAACATACATAAATCAATAAATGTAAAATACCATATTAACAGTCAAGGACAGAAACCATATGATCATGTCAACAGATGAAGAAAAAGCTTTGGACTAAGTCTAACATCTATTCAAGATTAAAAACCCCACTAAAAATTGGAATAAATGGTCTTTACCGCAATAGCATAAAAGCTGTCTATGCTGGCAGGCACAAGGTCCTGAGTTCAATTCCTGATACCAAAAAAAAAGCAAGCTATCTATGATGATAAGCCAACATCCAGCATCATACAAGATAAACAAAAACTGAAAGTTTTCACTCTAAAATCAGGAATGAGGATGTCCACTGTCACCACTCTCATTCAACATAGTTCCAGAAACTTTAGCCAGAGCAATTAGATAAGAAATAAAAGGGATATAGGTAGGAAAGGGAGGAGTTAAAACATCATTATTTATGAATGACATGATACTCTACACAGAAGACCCTAAAAACTCCACCTAAAGACTTCTAGATTTAGCTGGATACAAAATCAATACTCAAAAATCAATAGCCTTCCTGTACATGAGTAACTCAATGAAAGAGATAATAGGGAAACAACACTTCTCATAATGCACCCCCAAGAAATAAAATATCTACAAATCAATCTAACAAAGGAAGTAAAAGACATCTCCACCAAAAAGTACTCTGAAAAAAAAGAGAATGAAGAGCATATCAGAAAATGGAAAGATATTCCTTGCTCCTGGATAGGGAAAATCAATATAGTGAAAATGACCACACATCGAAAACTGTCATACAGATCTAATAGAATTCTGATCAAATTCCAACAGCATATCTCACAGAGTTAGAGAATACAAACCTAAAATTCATTTGCAAGCAGAAGAAACTTAGAATAGCAAAGGCAATCCTAGGCAACAAAGTCAAGGCAGGGGACATCACAGTCTCCAACTTGAAATTATACTGTAGAACTACCGATACAATCAGCATGGTACTGGCAAATAAGAGACCTGAGATCAAATGAACAGTGAGAAGATGCAGAAACAACTTCAGGTATACTAGCCACCTTATCTTTGACAAAGGTGCCAAACATTCACTGGTAGGAAGCCTCTTTAATAAATGGTGCTGGGGAAAACAACAACAACAACAAAAAAAAAAAAAAACAAGCTTTACATGTGCTAAAGATTTAAACCAAAAAAAAATTTAAACCAAAAAAAAAAAAAAAAAAAAAGATTTAAACCAGACCTGTATTTTTTACCACTCACTAAAGTTGAAATGAAGTTGCCAGCCATATAGCTCAGAGGATTAAAGAGAGCGCAGGGTCGTGCCATGCCAGCCCCGCCCCAGGGCAGCTGCGACAATGGAGACTGGGTGTGGTAGCATGCGCCTGTAATCCCAGCTCTCAGGAGGATGTAAACAGGCGGGTGGGTCACTAAGAGATGGATCTAGTAGTGAGACCCTGAACACCCTGTAGACCCTTCTCTAAAATACAAAAATAATAATAAAGTGGCAATGTATCAAAGATCCAAATATTAAAACAGAAACATTGTATCTGCTGGAAAACAGAATAGGTAAAACTCTTGAAAACATTGGTGTAGGCAAAGACTTCATGACTAAAACTCTGATCACACAGGAACTATCAAAGAATCAACAGCTGGGATCTCATCTTATTATTTTTATTTTAGCACAGGGTGTACAGGGTCTTACTGTGTAGATCACTCATAGTGATCCTTTTTTTTTTTCTTTTGCAGAACGAGGGATTGAACTCAAACCCTTGCGTTTGCCAGGGAAGCACTTATTCCACTGAGCCATCTCCCTGGCCCAATTACAGCCTCCCAAGTGGCTGTAACTACAGGTGCACGCCACCACGCCGTCTCCACGGCTGTCTCAGCACACCCCAGGGGTGGGGCCAGCATGGCAGGCCAGGGGATCAAACTCCTGGCACCTGCATCCGCCTAAGCAAGAGCTTTAATCCGCTGAGCTATTTGGCCAGCCCCAGAATCTCATCTTATAGAAAAGGTTGTACACAGCAAAAGAAACCACCAGCACAGTGAAGACAACACACAACATGGGAAAACATGTTTGCCAGCTATTTTTCGAAGGATCACTATTGCAAGCATGTAAAGAACTCCCAAAAATCTGAGATAAATACACATTTCTCAGATGAAGTCCAAGTAGCAAATAAATATATAAAGAATGTTCGACATCATGGGTCATTTGAGAGATCAAATTATAACAACACAGATTCCACCTCACCCCAGAAAGAATGGCTATTACAAAGAAATCAACCAATAACTCCTGGTGGGGTTGTGTAGAAAAAGGAACCATTCTCTACCATGTGAGTGTGTGGCCTGGTACAACCACTACAGAAAACAGTACGGAGATTCCTCAAAAAACTAAGACTAGGGGTTTCACTCAATCCAGCTATTCCTTCTTGGTGTCTTCCCAAAAGAATTAGAAGCATACTAGAGCAATAGATGCACATGTATGTTTACAACGGCAGTTTGTAGTAGCTCAGTCTTGGAAACAATGCAACTGCCCATCAACTGGTGAAGGGAAATATAAGATTTTTTTTTTTAATATAATGGAATACTACTCTTCCATAAAAAACAATACACTCAAGAAATTTCTAGGAAAACGGATGCACCTTGAATCTATACTCTTAAGTGAAATAAATCGGACACACATATGTGAATACCACACTGTTTCTCTGCTTGGGAATCTGAAAGTGTAAATAAGGACCAGAATTTTAATAGATATTGTGAAATAGAAAATGTTCAAATTGGGAGAAGAACAAGGAAGAAGAGGGAAAGGAAAGAAGGGAATAAGACAAAAAATAGAAAAATATAGAAAAGAAAGAAGATTGCAAACAAAAACTTCTGACCAAACACACATTTAATTTTAGGAACACAATATGAAAAGACATTTATTTACACTTGGAAACTGTTTGGCTTGGAACACTTCCGCACTTGGCCCTGGTTTTGCTCACAGGTCAGGGCGCTGTGTCTCTGGCTGGGTCAGCTGGCAGTGCTGATGGTCTTCACTCTGCAGTTCTCCTTGGGCTTGGAATAGTCCCAGGGCCTTCTATTCTCAGTGAACCCATATAGTTTTCTAAGAGCCACTCGAGCAGCTTCTTCCTCTGCAACCAATACTGTTTCCCCAGGTCCTTCAGCAATCAATTTTTTATCACTAAGAAGAAAATAACAGTGGTCTTAAATGACAGAGTGTGGTGCTCCACAAGACAGTACACACTACAAAAAGAAATATAAACAATATTCTAGGCCTGGTATTTGTCAAGTCAAAAATGCCAAAGCAGATACTATAACAACAGGTGCATTTTTAATTGTTGATGAGAGAACTGGAACATACATCTTCTGAAAGCCTAAAACTATTTTTAAAAAGTTCCTCAGAATTATGCCTCGTGATTTTAAATTCTTTGAATGTGCAATATAACTTGAGAAGATTCTGCTAAAAAAGTATGGCTTTAAGTACTCACTTTGGCAGTACATACACTAAAAATTACGGCTTTGAGTTTTGTTGTTTTGGTTCGTTTTATCTCATCATGTAGTTCAGGCTGGCCTTGAATTCACTGTGTAGCCCAGGCTGGCCTCACACTCATGACAACCTTCCTGCCTCAGCCTCCCAAGAGCTGGGATTAAAGGTGTGGGCACCTGACCAGCTCTAGACTTTGAATTAAGAAGTAGAGATCTTCAAATCTCAGATTTTAAAAATATTTATATATTTATAACACACTCTAAATTATTCCCAAGAAATAGTGAGAAAATAAGGTGAACACTACATACTGGCTATTTATGTTCTATTAAAATAGACAAAACCAAAACCAATTTCTTGGCTTTTCTGATATTTCTAGTATAACTAGCTATCTTCTTTAAAGAAAGAGTTGTTTCTACAAGGAAGCAAAGGATGTAAACATTAAATAACTATAATCCCATTTGTTTTGCTACTTCTCAATTATATGTAACTAATTCCTAGAAACTACCTGATTTACAATTTCATCTGCACAAAAGCAGCATTTCTGTGAAAGTATCATGCACAGATGCCTGGAATCCATGTGAAGTAACTGGCAAGTAAAGAAGTTCAAAACCAAACTAAAGGGAAAAAAGTAAAGCTACACAATAAAAAAGCAAAACAAAAACCTACAACAGAAGAAATCTGCTAAGAAGCACTTCCTATGACAGCAAGTTAAAATGAAAGGTTAATTGCATGAAGTTAAACTGTGTAATGTTATATACACACGCATTTTTGTGAAGTAAACAAGAGAAAAATCATCTAACTGAATTTCAAGCCCAGATTTACCATCATGTTTTTGACCTAATGATACTGCTATTTTATCTGTTATCTTCTAAAGTTATCACCTAAAAATCTAAAGAATATTACCCAAAGATAATCACTTTGTAACATGGAAAATTATTCTTATTTTATTTGAAAGGTTACTCCCCAAAACTCTAAATCTTATTACAAATTGGTTAAAAATGTCACCTGAAAAAATAAATAAATAAAAAATAAAAATGTCACCCGTAGTAGCTGAACTATATTTCATCATGTACATAAATCTTTTCCTTGTTTTTAACTCCTTATGTTTTTTGAGACAAGGTCTAGCTATACCATCTAGGCTGGCCTAATCCTCCTGCCTAAGCCTCCCAAGTGCTAGAATAATAGGTGTGCACCACCACACTTGCCTGTAATTGTATTAATTCCATAACTATTACTGACTCAAAAGAACTATCCTAGGTATGGGGTACAAAGGGGTTAAAAAAATAAACGAGCCTGACACAAAGATGCACTCCTGTAATCCCACTCCTCGGGAGGCTGAGGCAGAAGGCTCATGAGCAGCTTGAGGACACTAATGAGACTGGGAACTTAATGAGAACTTAATGAGACTATCTCAGAAGAAAAATAAAAAGGTCTGGGATGTAGCTCAGTGGCTCTCTTAGTTAATTTCCTCCTGCTGCTGAAACAAAATATCAGATACCCCAAATTAAAGAGGGGAAGGTTTATTTGGCTCAGTCTGTAGAGATTTCAGTCCATATCTGTCTAGCTCCAAGGCAGGGTGGACTGGCAGAAAGGCCTGAAGAGGAGAAACAGTCCATGACACCCACAGCAGCAACAGCAACAAGGGTCTGTAATGGATTCGGTCCCTTTTACCTTACAAGGGAAGGCTGCACTCACACCCTTAATCCTAGTGTCTTTGAGCCTACCACTGTACCATGAATCAACCCGTGTCACACATTCGAGGCCTAGCCACCTCTGAGAAAAGCCCACTTATGAGTGCAGGAGGCTTTGGGGAGACATCTAGGCACAAGCTGTAACGGTGGTAGACAGCTTGCTTGTCCAACACGCAAGAAGACCGGAGTTCAAACCCCAGGGCCAGAAAACAAAGCAACACCATTGTCTATAAATATTTGTCTATAACTTTAAGACAATCAAAAAGAAATACCAAATTAAAGGACATAACATTTTTAAAAATTCCTAGTATTCTCTCAAAATCTCTTAGAGTGATACTATACATTTTTTCTTTTATTGGCAGTGTATAAAGCGCTGATAAATTATGTGTTTAAAGTTTACCAACCTGATAAAAAGAACACATAATTGTTTCTGCCTTGGTAAAATGTTCAACACTACTGACTTCCTATTTGTCTTCCAATACTTATACCCGATAAGGTCTTCTGTAATGCAAAGTAGAAAAAGATTTACCCAAGTCTTAATCTAATTATCTTATTCAACTGATTTTTTTTTTTTTTTTTTTTTTTTTAACTTTTTTTTTTTTTTTTTTTTTTTTTTTTTTTTTTTTTTTGCGGAACCAGGGATTGAACTCAGGCCATCGTGCTTGCCAGGCAAGTGCTTATTCTACTGAGCTATCTCCCCGGCCCCTATCTATTCAATTGAATATGTAAGATATACAATATGTAGCTTATGTGTTTACGTATTTTTGTGTTAAGGGGAATGAACGCAGGGCCCTGTGCTTGCTAGGCAAGTGCTCCACCACTGAACTACACCTCCAGCCCATTTTCATTTTAACACTTGGGGCAGGTCAGTTTCTTACTACCAAATTAAAAAGCTCTCAACATGGGTTGAGCTATACATTTTGATAGACAGCTAAGCCCCTTCTTTTTACTTCTAGGCTCACTTAAACTTGTTTATAAGAACTGACTAAGGGTAAACCTGTAACACATGACTCAAAATTTGTGTACAGAAAATTTTAAGCTAATATATATTCCATGAAATTCTACAGTAAGCAGTTGTCTAACAAAAACTACCAAAAGCAAAACATACCTTACTTGCCTTCCATAGAGATGACCAAAAAGGAACGGAAGTGGAAAACATATAATCATGGGGATGGGCTTTTTAGAAGTCTCTTCATGCTATCAGAGGTCATATTAAAGAAACGTAAAAAAAAAAAAAAAAAAAAAATCTAAGCATAGTGGCACAAGCTGACACCCCAGCTACTAAGAACCCGGAGGCTGGAGACTCTGGAGTCTGGGCCCGGGGTGGGAACTATGAGACCCTGTCTCACAAAATGTAAAAGGAGCTGTGAAGAATCTAGAGTCTACACTTAAGGTTTCCAAGCAAAGTTGTGAATTTAAGGTTCAAATTTTGCTCACCAGTATAAGCCTACAAAATACAAAGGCAAAGCTGTGGTGCTTCCAGACTGCCTAGTAAGTCTAGATTCCGGAGGTGTAATGTTTCTCTTCTTCAATTCTTCTACCAGCAGTCCCATGGGGTTTATTATCTCCCACATCTCAAAAAGTTCTCTTCCAGTCAGCTGAGTAATTAAGAAGTCCTGTGTACAAAACATGATTTAATATATTTGAGTTAGTACAAAGAACTTAAGGACCTGAATCCAAAGTACATATTTAATAAAAAAAATCTAATGGGAAATGAAAGACACTATGTAACGCCCTAGTCTGAAAATCCAAAATCCCAAACAATCCAGAACATGAAAGGTTTTAATAAGCACTATTATGATGCTCACAAAGGTTAAGACTCTAAAGTAATTTGGATTTCAAATTTTAGATTTCCAAATTAGGAAATCCCAATCTGCAAAACTTTGCAAATATTCCAGATCTGAAAATATCAAAATTCTGGGGGCTGGGGAAATGGCTTAGTGGAATAAGCGCTTCCCTGGCAAGCGCAAGGGCCTGAGTTCAATCCCTGGTTCTGCAAAAAAAAAAAAA